GCAGCACCACATGCTCTACAGTGACAATAAATAAAGCATCACATACTACCTTTGTTGTTGCATATTCTTTTTCTGTTAAGCATGTTGTGATGAGAGAGAGGGATAAAAGAGAGAAGAAGAGAGAGAGAAAGAGGGAAGGAGAAAGAATAGAGGGGAGGCAGACAGGTGGAGAGAAAAAGAAGAGGAGAGGCAGACAGGGTGAGAAAGGAGAGGGGAAGAGAAAGAGGAGAAAGAAACTACAAGGACCAGGTGCCAGAGCCTGGCTGCCCCCACTCCCCGCAACAGTGCAGATGTGCAGGCGAGTGGTGTGGCCATTACGCCCACAAGGCGGTATCTGCCGCTGCTGCTGCTGGTGTCCCTTCCCCTCCTCGCCCTCCCCCACAACAATGCCAGTAGGTGGGTGAGGACAGAAGCGGCGATGGAGGCTTTGCCGGGGGAGGCTTCCTGCATGGCGTGGTGGCTGTACTCGGGCCATTTGCCATGGCCCCAGCCCCCCTCCAGATGTGGTCAGCAGTGTGGCACAAGCCACTTGGGCCCCTGCCAGCAGCCTTGGCAGAAATTAGGGAGGGGCACATCCCCCTGTGCCTAGTCTGAGTCCCCCTGGTTAGGGACCTACCAAATTAACAGTGGGAGCAGGCTGTGCAGCATCTCCTTTAATCTTGAAGGTTCCCGTGTGTGCCTGGCCTTGCTGCTCGTCACACGCTTCTGATGGGTGGGGAGGCAAAAACTGAAGTTATAAATATGGCGCCGTTTTTGTTGCTTGCCACTGATTGGCTGAGGTGCCCTGGCAGCCCCACTGTGTGTTGCTGACCAGACGGGAGGCAAAAATCTCACCATATTTAAAACCACGGTTTTCACCTCTCTGCTGATCAGGAAGGGGAGCAGTGACCAGTGGAGGGGCATGCAGGAGAACCTGCAAAATCAGCGGGAGCAGCTCCTTTGATGTTGCAGGTTCCCCCGTGCACCGCCACAGACACGGGGGCACGGTCAGCAGAAGGCAGACAGCGTCCTTGTGTCCCTGTGTCCTTGCCTGTGCTCTCCTGACCACCCCCCGGGCCTACCCCGGCAGGGATCTTCCTGATATGTGTGTTTCAGATATTAAGGAAAAGTGCAACTTAATATAATTGCTAACTAATACAAAAATGGTTGTGTTGGCAAGCCTAAGTGAAAACCTGCAAAGCTGACTAAGACTATGACAGTAATAATTATGTTAAAAAGAAAATTATTTAGGTTGCAAAGCCATGCAAAGTTAGGAAGTGTCAGAATGTAAGTTATTCATTCAATCATAATATTATTATATAGTCTTTGATTTCCTAATCATGTGCAGTTTTTTCCAAAGGATCTCTGCCTCATTCAGTACACAGAATGGGCAGTGCCCAGACAAGGAGTTAGTTGTTCAGTATTTATAGCCTCCTCATTCAGTTAATGGCCCTTGCATTATTTACTGCACACCATCCAAAGCCTGCATTGCATACAGAAGTGTTCATTTAATCAAGGTTCTTTCTAGGGCGCCCATCACAGGATTGTTTGAGTGCCTCAGAAACATGAATCACAAATGCTGTAAGGTAGCAAGGGCTTATTGTCTCAAGCTTACAGATTCGCTCTGCTGCCCTGACTGATTTCCTGGTCACCTTCCATCCTGCACCCTGAATGTGGGTTCTGTGGAAAAAAACGGTGATGATACGATTAAAGACTGTATCACAATGCCTATATACATGTATTATAACTTTTCAAACAAAGAATGCAAGGGTCTTTTATGGACCCTTGGTTCATAAAATGGAAAGTGCTAGGCAGCCTACATACAAAGGGCACTATGGCCTGTTGCTGTATAACTTGTTCTTATGTAGCACTTTCCCTTTAGACCTTAAAGGGTAATCATTATCCCCAAGCATTATCTACCATTTTGTTGATGGGGATATATGTGCAAGCACATTATATGTGCAAGCATAGAGTTATGCTAAAGCAGTGCATAGAGTCATTGGCAAAACCAGAAATATAACTCATGTCTGACTACCCAGCCATTAGATTTTAATGAAATGAAGTGAGTGTAAATGTTAGCATTCAATAGGGGTAGATTAATTCATGTTGTTACTAGAACAATGAAAGTTTATATTTTCTATTTGGTGTTTGGCATTTTGCTAGGATGATATGGTGAGGGAAGAAAGCAGAGGGCTGGCAGAAGGCACCAGAAAGGGGAATAGGGACAGCAGATTAGATGCTCTATATAAGCTGTGAGGCAACCACTTTGTTGGCCTGTGCTGTGCAGGGATTCACGCGCATGAGACTTCACACGTTGACAGATTCACACTGATTAATCTTTTAATGGGGGATCAGAAAATTAGTAATCATTCTCCTTAATACATAGGCTGCATTCATCTTAGCTATAAAAATTATGTTTAAAAAAGCCTTGAGGAGAATGATCCTTGAGGGGAACAGAGTTTTATTTACAGGAAAAAACAATTCTCAAACTCATAGTAGCTTTTCAAACCTTGTGAATCCAAAAGTTAACTTTCAGTTCTCAGAATCTCATACTCCTCAAGGTTCATTCATCCCTAATTATAATTACAGTTTGCAAAGCAGGAGGCTTAGCATGGTGATGACCTGTGCTGGAGAGGGGAGAGAATATATGTATTGCATCTTATTAAGGAGTCCAACCCATCTGCTTCCTTTATTACATATTGATTTATCCAGGGTGATTAAATTCCATTACATGTTGATTTATATAAAGTGATTAAACTCTATTACCTATTGCTTTGTACAAGGTGGTTGAACCCGAATTGTTGTTAAACAAGAAAAGAACAAAGAATGAGTGACATTGTGTGGTGATGCTTTTGGAGCGGTTTTGGTATCAGAGGAACATAGGTAGGAGTACATGAATAAGAAGAAATAAAGATGGTGATATTTTAAATGCCAGGCAATTTTTTTTTCATTGACTAATGTCTTTTCAGGTCCACTCAAAATATTTGAGTTGAACATGTCATGTTTTTTCACCTGAAGAAGACAAAAATTTAACAAATGTCAAAGTTAAACTTTGCAAAGGGAAACTTTGATTTTTTTTTGCAACAACATTTTCATTTTGAAATGTATATTTAATTATAAGAAATAAAATATACCTAAATATGCAATATTTTGCTTGATAGAAAATGGAATTTAATTTTTTGTTTCAGTGAGAAAACTAAAGGTTTATTGTTTGAGGTTGCCTGCAGTGCGTTATTTTCTATTTTTTTCAGGCAATAAACTGAAAATGTATTCATCAGTCTAAGAGAAAAGGCATCAATCTCTGATGTGAATTTGAAAGGCTTTAAGCTATGCTTGTAAAAATTACATTCCAAAGTAAAGAAAATACAAACTGTACAACTTTATTATTGTAGCACCTGGGGTATGTGTTTCTATCTACTCTACAGGCAGTTTTTCAGTCTCAGATAAATACCAAGCTAAAATTGATAATATTAACAGTTTTAAAATGCTTCCTATGAGACTGGTTGACACTTGGTACAATTAATGGAGACTCTGGTGCTTATTCAGAATCTCATTATATGACCAGGAACATATTTGAGTAACTGCCTTTAACGTGCAAAATGCACTAAGAAAAGGATTTTACTGAATAATGGCCCACATAAATAGAATCGATAAGCAAACACAAAATGCTACTGTTCCATAAAGAGATAAAGGAGCTGAAGCAAATTTGGCCATTAGGTAAGTGGCTGTAATGGCAGGTTGTGCCTTTGGAACATGCAGATGTTACATTTAGATTGACCTAACAAGGGTTAGATTGATTTAAATGTCAATGTGTGCAGATGTTCGGGGGGTTTAAATTGGGCCAGAAATGGTGTACCTGACCTAAGTTAATTCACCTGAGTAGGTGAGCTAACTTAGTTCAGCAATGGGTTATCCCAAGGGTGGGCAAAATACAGCCTGTGGGCCAGATCTGGTCCACCAACTGATTGGATCTGGCCTGCAGGTGGGCACCTGCCAGTTGATTGTAGCTGGCCTTGCAGTGGGCTGAACCCCACCCACTCCCAACTGGGGCAGCCCATATTTGCCAACTGTCCTGGCTCTGGTCAGTGTACACAGCTTCCTGGCAGGGCTGCCCTCAGTGCAGCTGCAGCCACCTGGATACTGCTTGGCTCCCCCTGCCTCTAGCAGCTCTTCCTCCTTTGCTGTTCTGCTGCACTGCTCTAGGGAGCAGGTAGCACTGGGAAGCAATGGGAGCCCTGGGGACATGCCAGGCACAGCATGCCCAGCCAGACAGCAGGAGGAGCTGCAGCCAGGCAGTTCCTCCCCCAGTGCACAGGCACAGCTGTAGCTACTTTCCACCCACTTGGCTTCCTGTAGGTGGCTGCTTATTGTGCTGGGTGGGTGGAGTGGGTGGAAGGTGGCCAGGAACTGGAGCTGGAACCCTGTACACTGGGGCAGGAGCCTCCTGCCTGTAGCCTCCCCCCACCTTGCTGGGCATCTGCTGCCCAGCATATATCCCCACAGCTTCCTCATGCAGCCTGTTGTCCAGAGCAGTGCAGCAGGGGCAGAAGGAGGAGGAGGAGAAGCTGCTGGAGGTAAGGGTAACCGAGCAGTACCCAGGTGGCTGCAGTCATACTGGGAGCAGCCCCGCTGGAAAGCTGTGCATGCTGGCTGGGACCAGTCAGTAAATGCGGGCTGCTTTCGGTGGGATAATTTGCATTTATTAACTAGGAAGTTTAGCCCTCAGATAGCAAAATATCCACTGTTCACTTAGGTATTTCTTCAAATAAAACAAGAACATTGAGATATTTCCCTTCTCTCCTAGTCTCCATAAATGATGCCTTTTGTTATACTTCATAAACAGATAGCCTTTTTGTAGGTATATTTCTTCCTTTATTTTTAGTGCTAACAGGTAGTGAATTTGCTTCACTCAGGAAGATGTGTGAACAATTAGCTTCCACAAGTTATTTGCTGAGAACAAATGTTTTAAAGTATCAAAATTGGAAGTGTAAAACGTTTAGGGGTTTTTTTATTTCAAACAGGAGTGAAGAATCTGTCAGTCTGGGCCAATGGCATGAACTAAGAGTGTCTCGCACAGCAAAGAATGGTATCTTGCAGGTGGATAAACAAAAACCAGTAGAAGGAATGGCAGAGGTAAGAGCCAGATATATATTTGCATGTATATATGATGGCTGTCTCTCATATATTTTAGGAAGAAGGGATTATCTTCCGCTACACCGTAGAACCAGGTCCCCAACATTAAAATCAAGAAAAGATCCATTAAACGTAGGAGAGAGGAAACTTGGCAGTCTAGAAAATTCCATAACAATGCCCAGTTGGGGCAATTTTTTCCTTTTCTTCCATTTATTGGTTATAGATGAACTTGTTACAATACAAGAATTCACAGACAGCATGGAAATATATATAAAATGTAAAATTATGTGCACAAGGTCGGGTGAATAGTTGCGATTGCATATTGCATAATCATGGAAGCCCATAGAAACAGAATTTAGGAATTATTTTGTTTTTCTCTGTCTTCTGTAAAACTTGAGATAACTTATTACTCACCTTTGTTTTCTCTATTGAGGTCACAATTTCAAATAGTCTCAACTTTGAAAATATTCAACTTTTAATCAGAAAACCAAAAAAGAAAAGTGTTCTGCAGAAGAATCTTCAAGTTCTGAGAGAGACTAGAAATTCTTGTGAAAAGTAGGCATTTTTCATTCAAAATTTCATTCTGTTGATATCTAGTTATCTACAAACACACAAGTTCAATGAAAAAATTTTCAACCAGTCCTAGCTGAAACTTAAAAAAAAAGTCTAGTCCATAATGAGCAAAAGAGATTTTCTAATTCTCTTCTCTCCAGCTGAGTGCTATACTTGAGCTGCAGAGATAGTTGGATCTGTAACAACCCATAAAATGCAATTAGAACTTCTGCAGGATTGCAGTTGTGTGGTTTCCACATATTTACCTTTAAGATCCTTTCAAACCCTACTAAAAATTTGATCTAAGCTACAGTTTAGCTTGAGTGATTGTTCCTGCTTCCAGGAAATAATTCAAACATGGGGTTTGTTCTTTTACCTCTTTCCTTTGTTCTGGATTTGCTTTTTCAAATACAGCAAACATTCCTCTCTTCTATATTTAATGGATCTTCTGTTCAGTTTAATTTTGGAGATGTGGTTCTGGTCTCATACATATCAGATTCTCATCAGTGTAATTCCAGTGACTGCAAGTGAAGTTATTCCTCATTCACGCCAATGTGATAATGATCAGAAGACAGTGACAGGACAACAAAGTCCCCTTCTTCCTCTCATCTGCCTTGACTTTCATCCAAGTTTTGAAACATCTGAAATTTACCAGCCAACTTCAGTTGGAATCAGACCTAACTTTGGCAGGGAATCTTTTTTGTCCTTTCCTTGCCAACACGAAGATGTAGCACTGTGCTGCCTCCTGTACAGAAATACCAAGTCACTAAGAACAAGTCCATGTTTCAGAGCCTAAAGTAAGCAATCCTGAAGATGCATGCAGACTTCATCTCATTAAACATAATAGCATTCTGCTTTTTTACAACAGGGAGCTTTCACACAGATTAAGTGCAGCTCTGATATATTTATTGGTGGAGTCCCTAATTATGATTATGTGAAGAAGAACTCAGGGGTCCTGCAGGCCTTCAGTGGAAGCGTTCAGAAGGTACACATTCTCAAATTAATTAAACTCTCTGTACTTACTTCATGTCTTCCTGGAATCCTTTCAGATGAACTGTCAAGGAAAAATACTGATGCTATTAAAATCAATAGACCAGGACTTCATCCTTAAATTTCAGCAGTTCAGCCACAAGTTGCTCCTTGCCTAAAAATGTTTCATAATCTAGAGCACCAAGTTCCTCTTATGAGATATTACTGCCAAGTGCTATTTTATAGCTACTTTTCTCACCTTTGTTTTACCATCTATGCTGCACTAACTATGAACAGTAGCAACGCTGGGCCAAATTCAGAGATGGTTTCTTAAAAATTATGTAAAAGTTAGAATACCCTAAGGCCAATAACACCAATAAGCAAGTGCATAAGAGAGGTCCAGGTACTTCAGTGATGGACAAGGTTTAAAAACGTAGCTAGATAGCCAGTTCGTATAACTTGGAGACTGGTGTGCCAAAAAACAGTGCAAGTAAAAGGTGGAATCTACTTTGACTTTTCCTTTACACCTTTCCTTTAGCTTCTTGCTTCCTTTCCCTCCCATGGCCTCTGTGTGTAAGCTCCACTACCCTTTTCACAGTTTGTAAGCAAATTTCCAACATGTTAATTAATAATATTGGGTATAAATGGGCACAAATCTAAACTGAATGTAGTTCTGGGGGCTATAAATTTGTGTGAGCTACACAATGAGGGGCCAGAAGGAAAGGTTAAGTTGCACACACATAGGCTTCTTCTAGAAAAACAGTCTCAGCACTGAACTTGGCACTAACTCCAGATAGTTGGGTTTTTTTAGTAATTCCAATGGATCAAATTTTTTAAAAAAGATCAGTGTAAACCATAATAAATGGATTAAAAACTGGTTAGCGAATAGAAATTAAAAAAGTAATTGTAAATGAAGAATTGTCATTCGATAATTTTTTTGTAGTGGAGTCCATCTGTACTTGATCCAGTGCTGTTCAGTATCTTTATCAATGATTTGGAAAAAAATGCTGAAGCGCCCCAAAAATGGTTGTGCGCTAAATAAGGATAATGAAATGTCATTTATACAAACCTTCCTGCATTGCTTGGCTCAATGGTTTTGTTTGAACAATGTGTGTTTTTAGCCATAGGTGAGGTAGTGCATGTAGGAACAAAGAGTAAAGGTCACATTTACAAGTTGGAGGTCTAAAATACAACGGCACTAGAAAGGCCTCAAAGATAGTAGTAGATAAACAATTGTACATGATCTCCCAGTGCAATGATGCAATTAAGAGGGCAGATAATTTCTTAGAGGCATAAGAAGGCTAGCAAGTCAGTAGAAAGGTGGTATTACATCTTAATGCAGCATTACCTCTGTTGTACAGTGAAAAATTGGATAGAGTTCAGAAAAAAGCAAAAAGAGTGACTCAAGATCCAGAAAATATGTGTTATACTGAGAGACAGTATATTTAGTTTATTAAGGAAAAAGGTAAAGAAAGGACTTGGAATCAGTCTACTAATAGCTACATGAGAGAGAGATTTTGGAGAGTAGATGGCTCTTTAAGGAATCAGAAAAAAGGTATAACAAGAGACAACGGGATGGAAACAAAAGGTAACGTCAGCCTAAACATAAGCTACATTTGTTTTAACAATGAGGATAATAACTACAGGAACAACATACCTAGAGCTTCCATTACTGGAAGTCTTCACATCATGACTTGATAACTTTTAAAAAGACATGATCTAGCTTAAACCGAATTTATGAGCTTGGTGTGAAAATTCTTTAGTGAGATTGTGGAGCTCGTGTTATGCAGGAGGTCAGACGAGCAGTCATCATTTCCTTCAATTCTTTCTCTGTTAATGAAAATGAGGTTTTTACTACTATAACCAAGAGCAGAATGTGGCATCATATAGAATCTGGTTATGTATCAAATTTAATTGTACAAAATGTTGTGGTGTTCCGTAGAGAGCTCATGACATGCTGTTGCATTGTGTAATAATCCTATCATTTCACAAATATCTTCAGTTTAGATCCCAATATGTTCTGAAGTAACAAATTATGCTTTTCATCCATTCAGCTTGACTTTTACAGTGCAAGATAAAACACTGGAAAACATGCTAGGAGTAGAAAATGGTAACAGCATTGCACTATTTTTGTGTTGTAAGCAATGTTCTTCAGGATGTCATATTCTCTCATAAGCTAAAATTGATTTCCTCAGCAAAGCTCATAAAAGATTTCAGTTTCGGCTCATAAACGAGCTACAAAACAGCCCACCATACAAGCCTGGTAAATCCCACAGAGCTTTTACTGAGTGGGAGTTGAATTGTTTTGTGTTGCAAAGTAGAAGAGAAACTCATCACTAACACATCAGGATAAACAGTGAAATATGTTGGAAGAATGTACTCACGAAGTGCATTGTTGACAATAAACAGATGTTAGATCAAGTTTCCAAAACAGCTGTTTTCTCTGAAGTTGTTCAGAGGAGTCCTGTATTGAGTTATAGATCACAGTAGATGAAATCCTGAAATGAGAGCATCAGGCTATGGAAATATTATCATTATATTTTTCTTTTTTAAACCAAGATTATCTTGAATGACCGGACAATTGATGTGAAGCAAGATTTCACTTCTGGAGTCAATGTGGAGAATGCTATCCACCCCTGTGTGAATTACCCCTGTGTTAACGGGGGCGGCTGTGTGCCTAAAAAAGACACTTACGAATGTGATTGTCCTTTGGGCTTTGATGGGCAGCACTGTCAGAAAGGTATGAACGACTTTTTTTTTCCAGGTGCAAGTACAACATTTTTACAAAAATCATAAGATTTAGTCCCTGTAATTGCCATTTTACATGTCTCTTGGAATAAAAGCTGTAGGAGCCAGAGCTGTCTCTGGAATACTGCACATTCCACCTACCCATGGCAGCATCCATTCTGTTACTTAAGAACATAATAATTGTTATCCCATTGCAGAGTAATGATCCCTAGATAGCAGCATGGTACTGGTCACCTGCAGTAGCCAATACTGAATGCTTCAGAGCATGACCTAAAACTCCTTAATTATGTAGTTCTGTATAAAGGGGGAATTCCAACCTGTCTGCTCTAGCTGGTGATTATCTTACACCATGAAGCCTGAGGATTGATAGCCCTTGTAATTTTATCCTGGCTAGTGCTAACAACAAATGCTACCCTTATTCATATAGAGGTCTAATCCTATTTTAGGCTCTGACTACCCTGTAATTTCACAGTATGCACAAATCCTACTTCAGCAAAATAATGGAGACCACCAAGGAAGGAGACCTTCCATAACAAGTTGAATTCTTCGTCAGTCAAAGACCCCCCACTGTATTGCAAACTAATATATTTACGGAAGAGAGTTAAGATTGCATGAAAACAGAAAACAAAGGCATACATTTTTATTCCACTAGATGGGGTCATTTTCCTTCTGTCAGGCTTGATCTTAGAAAAAACAAAAGGGAAATGATTGTATTGTGCCACTGCATTTCCTTGTGCTTCAAACCTAAGTTAGAAAAAAATTAAGAGCATTAAGATATTTCATTCTTTATTAATCCATCACAGTTAACTTTCAAATGGCTTTTCCTGACAAAAAAAGAAATTTATCATAACAGAAGTATTTTATTAAAAATAAATACATTAATAGCTGAATCGATAATATTAATTCCATCAATTCTTCTTTTTTCTTCTTTGCCATTTTGATTGTCTTGGTATTTACGTGGCTCTAGTGAAGGGGCTAGCTATATATTCAACTAATATATACACACACACTTCAATAGGAAAATCTACAGTATAAGTTGAGGACAAGCTCCTTAGTGGCCTTACTCTTTGGGTTTAAAAGAGACCTTATGCATTATTTAGCCAAAGTCCCTTTGTGAGACTAGTCTTAATTTACTTTGTAAAAAAGAACTGAGGCCCAGAGCCTCAAACGTATTAAGCTGTTGTTGCTATTTTTGGTGTTGGAGTCTGTCATTTAGGTATCCTGTCCACCCTCCGAACTGTGAATCAGGTGACAGACTTCAGGCATCTCAAGGTTTAGGTGACAGCCCAAGTTGGGGTTTTGACAACCAATGTTTTGCTCTTAAGTATTTGAAATGGGGTTTAGGCAGGAACTAAGAACGTCTCCTGATGCGGATCCACTCCCTACATGCCTAAGCTGCTCTTCTTTCCTCTGTAATTCATTACTGACTGGCTGAGACAGCTTTTCAGCCAACCAGTTTCTGAGAGTATCTTCGTTAGACAGACATTTTACATGGCAAGTGGTGAGGTAACAGTGTAATATAGGATCTAGATGCATGAGTTTGAACCTTGCTTTGCTCTTTTGATGGTGTCAGTCCCCACTTGATCTAGCTGTAGCGTGGTACCTATTTATTTGTGTGGGGAGTCAAAGGGAACGGATGGGGATGTTAGCCCCATTGTTCCCTTGTGCGTCTGCCTACAGAACTGGTGTGTCTTAATCATGTGCCACTTAGTCTTGGGCAGACCTTTGACCTTTTAAAAACTGCATAGGGTGGCTAAATGCTAAACTTGGAAGAGAATCTGGGCATCTTGAGGTACATAGCTTTGACAACTTAACTAAAGGTCGAGTATTTAAGATATACTCATTGATGTCCCAATGAAGATAGACTAGATTTCTGTTTTCATAATTGTTATGGTTTGTCTTCTCCATAAGACATAGTGAGTGGAAGGATACATTTACTTATATGGAGTACTAGAACAGCTTGCCTTTATTTTTTCCTTTGAACATATTAAACCTTGTGCTGAAGACTGCCCAAGTCTGCTGCAGCATGGTGGGTGGGGAGGCGGGGCACAAAATAGGTCCTATTTGATGACACCACAGCCTTCATGCAGTCCTACTCTACCAGGGAGAAGAAGATAAATCCAACATAATAGTAAAAGGCTGTTGTTCTGATCACTACCCACATTGCCTAGTGATGTATCATGAGAGGAGAGGCAGCAATAGCTCTGTTACAGGAAGATCAGCCTAAATTGGCCAGACCATTGAAATAGTGACTTTCTTGCCATTGAAAAATAAAATCTGAATACTCTTGTTTTGTTTTATGCTGACTCACTTCAGAGTGTGGAAATTACTGCTTAAACAGTAAGTACTGGGAATGATTGTGGAAACTGCTCTGTCATTGTGTGTCTGCATGCTCCATCAAGCTGATAGCTTGACTTACACTGTATCTTGAAAGTTTCTATAGATAAGCAGCAAAGATATTGCGGGGTTATGTGGCAGTTCTATACATCTTGCTTTACTGCTGTTTCTAAATGCAGATCCAGAACTCATGGAATAGGCCAAGCAGGTGATAACGGACCTGGAATCTTGTTTCCTACAAAATGGGGTGAGACTGCAGAGCATCTCATGCAGTGCTCTGGAGAACCACCCCTAGGAGTTAAGGGGTAGTTTGGTGTTCAGGATGACCATTCAGTGGCCTCTGTGCCATTAACAAAGAGTTTAGTTGCATTGTTGGCTTTGGGACCTCTCTCCTGTTTGCCATCACCAGATAATGATGCTGCTTACCTCCAACCCAAGCTGGATTCAGAGGTGAAGGGCACTGCAGCCCATGATTTATATCGTTCAAAATCCAGTCTCTCCCTGCTTCTCTTTGTTTTTTATCCATAAAGTTACCTGCATTATTCCTGTTCCCATCCTATCCCACAACTTCAAATCCTGAGTGCTGTGTGAATAGTCACTCAGAGGCCCTTTGCATGTCATAGTTCTCCCTGGTGCCAGAGGTCCTGACCATGATGAAAGGATAATAATGTGTATCTAGGGGTAAAATAAGTTGCATTAGCTTATTCAGATTCATCAGCAAGTGAAAAGCATATAAAAGGTCAAGCCCCATAGAGCACGAGGCTTCTTTTAGAAATCTGAGCATGAAACTGGCAGATTGCAGGCTTTTAGTAGCATTGCATAACACAATTTCCTCTTTAGACACATTGGACAGTGTCCCTAATTTCATTACAAACGAAACAGCCATTTATTACCATCTGAAATTCTCTGTCTCCCATAGCAATTAAACCTAATCTTCTTATTGCTGCTGTTAGCTTAGTGTGTGTGTGAAGTATTACAAATTTATATTGGAGTAATGCCTTGAAGCCTCAAACAACTCTGGTGCCCCCTTGTGCTGGGAATTGTACAAACACAAGAAAGAGTCAGTTCCTGACCTTCAGACATTAACATTTTTATATAGGCAAGCCAGGGTGAGTCTACACATTCATTAATGTGCTTTTGATACTGTACATTAAATTTAGTACCTCTAATGTGAGGTACTAACTAAATGTGTATTAGACTGTCCTAATGTGCAGTAGCAAAAGCACATGTTTTGTTAGTGACACTTAATGCGCAGTAGCTTAATTTTACTGCGCATTAGCATATCAGCATGGTTTTTGCCGTGACACTCTTTGTGCAGTAATATAGGCTACTGTGCATTAATGTGCACATGTAGACACACCTACAGAGAAGCTAAGGTATAAAGGGTACAACATTCAAGCAGATGATTGATAACTGAAGCACAGAACACATAATAACCCAGTTCCGCAAATGTCATTGCTAATTTTTATGCAAGTAAAGGTGGAAGTCTTTGCTAGATTAGGTCCTAAAAGACTGGGCCAAAATAACAATGGAAATCCATGGCAGAGTTCAGAATTTAATGCAAAACTCCTGAGTCCTGGTCAGTGACTTAACCACAAACCCGTGCTCCCTTCATATGAATAGTGAGTGGTTTAATGTAAAACGTGCAATATAGATCAGTGGTTTTGTTAATGGCATTATTAGTAGGATGGGATAGTAAACACCCATAGTATCAGTAAGGTACAGATGGAGTAGTTTTCAGCCATTTTAAAGTCATTGCAATTATAATAATATCCAGTCTTAAAAGTAATGTCATTGTTTCCTCCCATGAAATAAAAGAACTAGGATTCAAAAAGTCTGTTAAAACCTTCTGGAGGAAGAGGAACAAGACTAATTATTAGCAGAAGGATGGGATTAGCAGAAGGATAGTTATTTTAAGAATCCCTAAACTGTTTTATATTAGGGAAACAACTGTTGTGAAAGCCTGGAGCAGGGCATTCTCACAAAAAGAAAATTGGCACAAGTGACCAGTCTTATTTAATCAACAGTCACACAAGAGCCACCGCTTTGCCCCAAAGACTCTGTCTGAAATGCTCAGCCTCAGTAACTTTTTAAGCACTGATCTTTCACAGACAGATGGTACAGAATCTGTGAGCAAGATATTCCCAAAATAACAGCTCTTCATTTCCCGCTTTCCCTCCCTTGCAGATCATTATATACTGTTATAACCATGGATTAAAAAGAAATGGGATGACATAAATCTAAGGACAGAAATATAGACAGTGGACCCTGAGCAGAGAAACTTTTTGGGACTGGGTATGAGTTAGTAAAGTTTAGCCTTTGACCACTTTTGCTCTTAGGCAGGCCCAGGCAAGCTGAAATTGGCTCACAGGCCTACAGTGAAATTTCCTGAGTAGCCCGTAAAATGACTTAGCATTCATTAGAGAAGAGAGCCCAGCTTGGAAACAGGAACCAGGAGGTCACTGCCTGCTTTCAGCAGAGCTATCCTAATTTACACCAGATGAATAGCTGGCTTTGTTCCCTTGAAGTAAGGCTTCTGCATGCAGCGATTCCCTACAATGTCTAGGTGGCAGCAGCAGACCTTGGAATGGCAACTTTCTGCTGTGCTGCATCCTTTAGCTGTGAAGGGAGGGGCGGGGGTCACTGCTCTCTGTGCAGAGCAGCCCAGGGACTGTGGCAACTATAGTGGCCTTGAGGGATAGAAAGTCAAGCTGGAGAATGGAAAGGATAGGAAGAAATAGGGCCTTAGAGGAGAAAGTTTGAAAATGTGCTGCCTTTCCAGGAAAGTAGGGTCTTTGCTGAAGAAGTTTATGGACAAAAGAACACATTAAACACGTGCTCTGTTGAAACCAATGGGTTAGAAACCCAATTCAGTATTTTGTACTAGGAAGTGAGGGTTAGAAAAAGTAGCTGAGCTACAGATTTAAGCTGAAAAAGGAGATAGTTTCATAAAGGGGCAAATTAAATTCTGGGAAGTTAAAAATATGGATAAAAATTAAAGTGTTCACAACATTTCACTTGCATTTTTTTCTGATAAGAGCTGCCTTTCATAATAAAAAGATAAATTGGATATATAGTGGAAAGCTACAGCTAAAGAAAAGGGGGATGGGGTGTCAAGAGTATGGATCAGGAGAAATTTTGGAGGTCTGCTTGTCTACCCATCTGCCATTGTACTCAGTAGGGTATGGGGGCTATCAGCATAGCTTAGTGCTGCTCAGAAGTGGCTGTCAATGAAGAAAATAAAATAAAACAGCAACACAGGTATTTTCACTTTGTTTTGTGTGGTTGTCTGTCATTTTCCAGCCATCACAGAAGCCATTGAAATTCCACAGTTTATTGGCCGTAGTTACCTCACATACGATAACCCGGATATCCTCAAAAGGTAATTCATCTACTCTGAGTTGAAATAATTGTGCTTTGCTTTTATTACTACAATATTAAAAGCCTTGTATGAGAAGGGTTTACTGTACAGTCAATCTGCTTAAGCCATATTTGCCGTGGTTCTAAATTATTTTAAAAGAACCAAGTTTCCTGCTGTACTTCATTCGCTTTCTCATTGTAGTACTCTAGTACTCAAGTGCCTCAGTCTTTGAGCATAGCTGACACCCTTGTAATGTAGAACAATGCTTTAAATATTACAATTTTACAGATGGGTAATTGCGGCACTAAGGGCCACGTGGTGATTCCTCAATACAACTTTAGCCATTCTGGACTAAAACATTTCAAAATTTAGATCCTTAAAAATCCCACTCAGCTACTGTCTAAGCCTGAAGGCACCTAAATACCTAAGGACCCAAGTTTGTTCCAGTAAATTTCCCTA